TTAGGCTAGGTTTCTTTTTCAGGAATAAGTCCTGTTTCTCACTTGAGGCCAGGAAAAGGCTAGTCACTGTGACTTTTTTACCTGTGCTGGACTATGGTGATCTGATGTATATGAATGCACCGGCCAACTACCTGAGCAAACTAGATGCTGCGTATCATAGTGCTCTGAGATTTGTCACAAATTGTAAAGCACTTACTCATCACTGTACACTGTATACCAAGGCCAGGTTTACCATCACTCACTGTACGGAGGCTCAGTCACTGGTACACTTTTATCTATAAAGCTATGTTGGGCAAACTCCCGTATTATATCTGTTCATTGATAAAGCAGAAGTTGCAAGCAGCTATTGTCTGCGATCGCAGGATATAGTCTTGTTAGATGTGCCAAGAGTAAGGACTGTCTTAGGGAAGTCAGCTTTTATGTGCGCAGCTCCACTTGCTTGGAACAGTCTACAGGCAAAATTGAAATTGAGCATTTTTATTTCTCTGAATGTATTTAAGGCACGTCTAAATGAAATGCTTTCTGACACTCTGGGTATTTGTAAATGTTGAATATGTAAATATGATATCCTCTGTTGTTTTTTTGTTTGTTGTTTTTATGTTTTCATGTGGAACTAAATGATGCAGATCTCCCTTGTAAATGAGATCGATGATCTCAAGGGACCAATCTGTCTAAATAAAGGTCTGAAATGAAATGAAATGAAATCACCAGAGACTAGTGCTCACTTCAAATCATTTTCACAAATAAGTAAGGGGTATGATTCCAATGATATTNTTTCAAGCACTTTGTGAATTATATTTCTGTGAAAGGTGCTATACGAAATAGTTCGTAATAAAGGAATTGTTTACTGAAACAATATAATAAATAATATGTTTATTTCGTATAGCACCTTTCACAGAAATATAATTCACAAAGTGCTTGAAATTAAGACCACATAAAATACAATAACAACACAAGGCAGACATTAAGGTTAACATAAAAACAAAAAACAGACATATGCTCCAAAAAGACCCACGTCGGTGTTGAAATGATAAATGTCATCATGCTGTAATAAGCTGTAAAATGTTCTGCATGAGTTTCAAACCCTTCGGCGAAATAGAGAAGTGTTTAAGTTAATCTATAGTATATGTTTGTCGCTGACTTCTCCTTTGTAGTCTGGAACAAATGTAGTTCCTGCCCCGTAAACATGACCGTAGTTGCACCTGATTAAGCAATGTTTAAACGGATTGACACGGCAGCTTACAGGATATTACATAGATTCCTCAACAAAGTCAGTCTCATAGAGAGGAATGTTGGCTTGTTGTTGATTTTCCTAGTTTGAAACCACTGTTGCAATCTCCACTTTAAAAGGGAGTCTGAGTTAAGGACAATACAGACGCTCAGCGATGAATATCCCAATGCATAGTGGAGAAAGACCCCATCTGGAAAGCTAGGACTAATGGCTAAATTCCCAGAGGGCACGATGGGTGTTGTAATTGAAGCATAACTCATGTTTGAGTCAGAAGTGACAGTGTTAATAGTTATAATAGATCACACCCTATGCTTCGTGTGCAGCCTGGCAGGGATCCTTTTGACATTTAAATAATGAAGCGTGTTCACAGCATGAGCCGCACACACAGCTGATCACTCCTGTACACAATGTATTTCTACTATAACACACTACTTTGCTTTTCTCGAAAGAACACGTATGTTTTTATGTTCTCCATTCAATCCAACACAAATATGACGACATTAACGCTGGGGATTCATTTGAAACTTCCTATGTGGTTCATTTCAGTGGCTTGGGATCCCTTTCTTCTGCAGGGTGTGTCTACCCAAGTGCATGAAGGAACATTTGGACAAAGATGGAGGCCTGGCCAACCGTGGCCTGGGTCCTGCTGATGACCAACATTGCTGATTGGCTGAAAACTGTCCAATGCCGGGACTTCACCATGACAGACATCATCCAGCTGCATCCCTCGAGTAAGAGCATATTTTAATATATACATGACACATATTAGGGGCGCTGGAAGTCATTCTATAAACTGCCCCAATGCTAACATGCTGCATGGCATTGGTGTTTTGTACTTTGAATAATGTGTATTCAAGATATTAAAACAATGTACACACATCAGGTTTCCCCCCCTCTTGGTTTGCATTGGAATACTTGGAGATATTATTTTATGAAATAATCCAAAAGCCATTTAAAAAACAACAACAATTGTGTTATTGTCAAGGGAACTAGATTGATGCTAACGTTTGGGGAATGACTTCAATCCATCCCTTCTTTTCAACGTTATTTAATAAATGTTTTCTTTATTATTGGCCCTACTTGTTTGTTTGTTTGTTTGTTTGTTCACAGCATGTAACACACACAGTCGGTGTTAACGACTGATTAGCGGAGCGATGCTTTCTCCCCCTTGCTTCTTGATTCTTTTAATCTAACTCACAGATTCCTGGTGATTGTGCAATGAAAGAAATCAGTTTTTATCTTGATTTGTTTTACAACTTAAAATGTAAAACACAACGGATGAAAGCAGCATCATCAATGACCCAAAAAAGCACGATTGGGGGTGTTTGTACGATTTTGGAAGTTGTTTCCTTAATGATTGTTTGACTGTAACACACAAAGCATTCCTTTCTGATTTTCTTTGTTTGGGTCACTTGAAAGGCGCTATACAAATGTAATCTATTATTATTATTATTATTATTATTATTATTTAGTTCTCTTTCCTTGTATGTTTGTATGTTTTCCAGCACATTTCAACATCACAAACTATTATCTGTCCTCCACAGCCACCCCTCATCCTGGCAGCTTCAAGTGTTTCACGTGTGAAGACGCGGCAGATAACTACGAGTGTAATCGCTGGGCGCCGGATGTTTACTGTCCAAAAGGTACATCAGTGTCTCCCTGTTTGCATCTAGACTGAGTTAATGTACTTCCCAAACGACTATGTCTGCTGGTTCAATAATCCAGATATTAAAAAGTGTGGCATGTCTTCCAGACGCCAGATACTGTCACACGCTGCACATGATGGACAACCATGGAGACAGTGTGTCTGTGACCAAGCGTTGTGTGAGCCTGACGGATTGTCAGTTCACCGGCTGTGCTGACGTCACTGATAACGGCTACCAGGTACGTTTACCTGCTCTAAAGGTCCATTATACTGTTTTCATTACTTTATTCCAGGTCTCAGATATATACAAACATGTCTCTGAAGTGTTTGGTTCGAAACACCAAACAGATCATTGCAGCATTACCCATAATCCCCTCTGTTTCAGCCCTGTTTCCAAAGTGCTGATTCTCTGTCTGTTACTTTAGATGAAAATAAGGAGCCCCTCCCCACGCCCCTCTGAGAGAGATTTGGTTACAAAGAACTCAATGGTGCTCTAGAGGAGATTCAGGTGATAAGGGGGGGGGGGTTACCTTGGTTGCTGATTGGCGACACAAGACAAAACATCGTTATGACATCATAAAGTGGCCAAAATCTGATCAGCTCATTTTCAGACAGGTTTTTATAGAAATGGATCAAAAAGAGA